TGCTCACAAGTGTTTGTGGAGGAAACAGAAACGTTTGCAGTAAGGATAGGAGATTCATTGTCAACGCGATCAATTCCATCTGATATTAAATCATCAGAGGAGTTGAGTCTTAGAATTCGACAATGAACGAAGCTAATAAAAAGTATGAGCACGAAAAAGCGTAATGCTTGGATAGCCATTGGTTGAGAATTGGAATACGAGATATAGGAAATTCACTTGTTGAAATCTAGGAAGAGGATAGGCACTTATATAGGAAATTCTGCACCAGCAGTACAATTGACTCGAAACTTCTATTATGTTAAGTAGGTGTGAATGCACAAAGTCATGGCCTTTTATTATTGTCGACAATATAAAAATCATATGTATGCTTTCCATGGAAATGCAAGTATAGTACCCAGTAAAATAGCCATAATATGACGTGAGTAATATTTTATAACATTATGAATACATTTTTTTCATAAGACTAAAGTACACCTTGGACACGGTGTAGTCAATAAGAAACTACAGAAACTGAAGGGAAATTCTAGTTCGAGGTGCCAAAATTGGGAAGTGCTAGATGTACATAATTTTTGTACGTAGAGTGTTACATGTCCACCCCATGTGAGTATTATGTAACACTATGTACAAAAATTTTGTACATTTAGATTTATTCGCCAAAATTTACCTGGCCACCCAGGTATAGACGGCCCAGTAGGTGAAATACACTTACCAACTGTAAAGTTCACCAGAAGTGCTGCTTATGGCAGCAAGGTCATTATGGCCATTATGGTTTATTATATGAAAAGAAAAAAAAGGAAAGAAAGAGAGAGAGAAGAAAAGAAAAGGCTACAATACCACAAATCGTACAAGAGAGAAATGAGACAGAGAATGAAACCACTACGAAGAAGTTCTGAGAGTTACAAGGAAAGCTTCGAGTTCGTATAGATTAGTTGTGCCATTATATGAGATCATCTCGATTGGTTGTGCCTTTTATATGCTGATTTTGATTTTTGTATTTAAACCATGTAAAATTTTACCCTTAATGCAACTACAGGGAGAGGCTTCGCCGGTATGCCAGGTCTGGCCAAACATGGGCTATGTGACNGGGCAGGTTAGGTGGAGCCAATTTTCACCTCTACTCCTACAACAAGCAGCCCTAGCTGTAATTCTTGTCCATTTGCTTAAACAACATGCAACTTGTATAATAAAACTGAAAGATTAAAATTTTCAATACAATGACTTCAGCCAGTTTGCACCTTTTCTAGTCCCATCTAATCTTAATTTACCCCTCAAATAATAAAATATTCCATTATTCTCGTTCATGAGAAAATTCTAGGATTGCCTCAATCGACCTACCTCTCGTTTGTTCTTTAGCTTGATCAAAGACATACAGTAATTCAAGAAAATGAGAATCTAAATTGTATCAACCAATTATAAATCATATTAAACTG